AATTATTAAGAAGTTACATGTTTATGGTGGTCTACCGCAGAATATCCGAAGGTTATGTTCACAATTTTATTTTAAGTACATGAAGGTGAAGTGTAAGAAGTATCTCAGAGAGTGTGAGATATGTGAGAGACTTCGCACACATCGAGGAGCTCGAAAAGCGATAGCTGCGTTGCCTAGTTGGCAAACTAATTGGCAGCCGTGGGAGTGTGTATCGTTGGATATCGTTGGCCGGGCCAACTTGGCCCCCTATGTCCCAGTTGTGAAGACGATCAGCACAAGGAGGAGAATCCAGGAGAGCTAAGGTATTTTCTGAGCTTTGTCGATACTGCTACTAAGTTTATGATAAATGTCCTTATAGCTAATCGATTGGTGAGTTCTTTGGTGGCCGCGGTGAATGAGGTGTTTGGGCATCGTGAACAAATTCCTAAATGTCTCATAACAGATAGAGAGAGTGGATTTCTGAGCAAGGCCTTTCAGTCTTACTTATTGACTTTGCCATTTACGATACATCATGTTACTGGTGCTCCTTATCAAGGCTGCCATGCAGGTCACTATGAGAGATTGCACTTGCATGTCAACAAGTTCCTGACAGGAGCGCTGCTTGCTTCTGGTGAGAGTGTTTATTGTTGGCATCGTCATTCAGCTGAAGCTACTCGGTTGCATAATGTTATGCCCTTTGATCAGGATGTGGACCTATCTCCTATGGATATGTTCAGAGCGTATGCTCCTCGCAGACTGTTGAAGAAACCCGATCTAGGCAAGGATGAGATCGTAGACAAACTGCATATGATTCCACCTGATGTGCCTTCGGTGATTCAGGATTTTGCTACTCAGGTTAAGAGAAACCAGGAAGTGAAGTATCGGGAGTATAGAAGGTTATGGGAGTTACGACGAAGTGAGTCATTTGAGAAGGTGCTTGGTACAATTCGACACTGAGAGTTGGAATTTATGCACGTGGTCACCGACATATGTCGGTGAGGAAACACCAAAATTTCACAAGTAAGGAACCTCCCTGAAGATGAGGAGGTGTACCGCAGTCTGCGCCCCTCTCATGCTCGAATTCTGTAATTAATCATATCCCAAATTGTTCATGACTAGGCAGACGTGTCGTACAAGTTCTGGCGATGACCTAGGTTCGGTCGTACAATGCCAAAGATTGTAAAGTAGAATTCAGGATGAGACTCAGTTGTATTTATTGGTGTATAGTCGTGACAACGTCGGTCGATTTGGAGGGCGCACGAAGCCATACTGTGAGGAATCAAAATGTACTCGACAGTGTAGGTATGGCTCTAGTACACGCTGTCGGATAAGGATCCGAGATATTGTAATTTTGGCCATTTTGGCCACAACAGTACCTGCAGAGAATTTGCGCGTAGGGTTACAGCTTCGGGTCGATGTGAAGGTCAGACTATGATCGAGGCTTTGCGCGGAATTTCATGTGTGCGCGCGTGCCGCGATGGATCAAGAAGCCATCGACATAGCTTATGGAGTGGCGCTGTGGCGCAGACAACCGACGAAAAGGGATAGGAATAAAATGACCAATATCCTCATACAAGTGATATTGGTGACCGGGTAGTGTAGACTAAAGTAAAGATGTGACTTTCACGCACGCTCTTTCTATAGTGTCACGTAAGCTGCTTTACGTGACACTGTAGAAGATGTGTGACACATGATATGCGATGTCGAGCAGGCCAAAGCCGCCACGTCGTGGCGAG